AAAGGTTGTACAATATGCTTCTCAAGATAGGTCTATTGAAAGCATATAAGACAACATGTAATCAAGTATTATTATTCTTTATAATCAAGCATTGATTAAAAAAATAATGTATTGCATATCAATTATTTGATGAATAAATTAAATACTGCAAATTAATTGGTTAGTAGTTGTAGCCAGTGAATTTTTTTAACAAACAGTTTTCAAGGATTCAACATCTTGGCAGGTTTCGTTCCCACAATTTAAAGTTTTGGTGATTGACGTTTTCATCATCAGTTGTCAACAAGTATGTTATTTTTAAGCTGTTTGAAATGTGATGAAAGATAATTAATTATGATTAATGATCTTAATAATTAAAAAATGTAATTTGACAATTGAAAAAAGTCAGTTTAATTGCATAGAATTTTTATAAAATTTCAAGCAATTAAATTCGTTTAGATTTTCTGCTTATAAATTGATCTACATTCTGCTCCTGACAGTCTCTTGTTGTAGATATTCATATATTATTTTTTAAATTACTGTTAGTATTTTTTACGTAAAAAAAAGATCTCCAACGAGAGATGCAAGTCACAGAAAGTTAGCAAATCTGTTATTAAAACGTGCTTTTCATTCATATATTTTATAAATTATATTTATTAGTAACATCATATATTTTAATTAAACTCTCTTATGTGTTATATTACTTCATTAGATAATATATATATAAATGTATTAAATATAGCATATTATTCTACAATTGTTACTTGTAATTAATCAAGATAGATTAATAAAAAAATTACACATAATTCTATAATATATTTTTTCTTATTGAATAGTTTTTAATTAATGATAATTATTGTAATGATTGATAGACTGATTTATTTTTAAGTAAAATACTGTAGTTGTAATTTTTACTCAATTAGTATAATAATTATATCTTCCTGATTAGTCAGCATATTAGTGTAAGAGTAATTTGTAAGAAATTTTCATGTATTTGATAAAATTCTTTTTCTATGTAGGAAATAATTATTTAAATATTAGTCATATCTATAAATTTTTAATAATAATAATGTCAATGATTTCAGACTGTTATATTGATTAGGATGTTACATTTATTTAGGTAAAATCAGATTAAAAAGAATTATAATTTGTCAACAAAATTTAAAATCCTAGGAAGCTATCTGAATGATGAATATAAAATTAAAAATACTTTATGTAATTTCTTAATTTTATAAGTTAGAATTAGCAGTCTGTCACCTTTCTTGATATCTTGTTGGATAGGATGTAACTCGTTGCAATTTTTCCTCTCGAGATGCGGGATGCGGGTACCTCCACGAGTGTCGGGACCATCACAGAACCAGAATGTTTGGGACCTTGTGAACCCGGGACCAGTGTGACGTTAGAGGGTATTGTATGGCAAGAAACGGAAGGAGGTAAGATACATTTTATTTTTATATTCAATGATTTAATATTAATCACTTTGGTGAATTTACAAGTTTTATACTAATTTGACAGTATTTGAATAATGATTTAAAAAAAAAAATAATTAGCTTGCTGCTAATTATTATCTTTATTGTAATGATAAAAATTTGGAATTAATTTGTATTTATAAAATTTACATACTAAATGCATTTGGCCATTTAATTTTGATATAATAGAAAATGAATTTATATTTATTTAACCAAAACATGAACATGTTTGCCCATTCACAAAATGTTTTGAAAAAGATTTATTTACCATCTGGCAGAGAGTTTGGCACAGACTTCAAAACTTAGGGAAAATAAATTGAGACATCAAAAAATTTGTTAATAGTTAGCCTTTTCCAATTGTTTTATGTAATAATTAAATTAGAACAAATTTGTAAAATCACAATTATTATATATACAAATACAGTTAAAAGTATTAAGTTTATAATCCATTTTTTAAATTTAATAAATTAAAAAATAAATAATGTATTACATTAAGATTATTCATAGTTTAAATAAACAATGTATTTTGTGATAATTAAAAAGAATTTTTAAAAATTAATAATCTATTTACATTATTTCTATTTCTGTATTTAAATTTATTTATATATTTTCCTCTCACCATAATTAAGTAATATACATATTTATAATCATTAAACATTTATTATATATTTTGTAGTATATATGTATATATTAGAGATGTAAACAATACTAATATATCAATATATCATAATGCTCCCAATGTCACATTTTGTTTTATAAGTGAATGCTCCAGTCTCTCCTTTTTTCAATAGTGACTATTGAAAGAGAATTGGAGCATTGGTTTGTAAAATGAAGCATTTCTGATATCGAGAATATCCTATATATCAATATTGAATATATATATATGATTAAGGTTATTATATTATATCAATTTTATTATTTTAAAAAATTTCATAAAATGTTTTTCCAAAGATGAGAATGAAATCTTTAAGGATACCAAATAATTATACTGTATTAGTATTTAAATGCTATAAAGAAATAGTAAAATCTTGTGTAACGTTACTTTCTGATGATCAATTACAAAACTTTTAATACAGTTACACATATTAATATTTTTCTTGTGTGTTTCTCAATTATATTTTAACTTTAATAAATGTAACATATATGTGTTAACATTTGTTTAATGCTGAAAATTTACATGGAGAAAAAATTTAATGAAAAGTTATATTTTAAGTAAATGTTTTGTTGTATGTATACTCAAGTTATAATTGTTATTGCATATTTCTTGTATAGCAAAATGTTTTCTGTTTTTAAATATAATACAGTTAATCTATACAGTGAGCAGTTTATATCTATATCAAAAATATCACATCTTTTCTAAATATGTATATTTTATTATATATTTTTTCAAAAATTTAAATTTAGGCAATTTATTTCATTACTAAAGTAATTTATTGATAAAATATTATGGTATTCATTTATTATTTTTTATTATATGTATATACTAGTTCATAAATTTCCGACCTATAAAGAAAACGAGCAAATTTATGAAATATATTTATAACAGATAATTCTGATTAGTTGAAATCATGTGCAGAATGTTTGGAACAAAAATTTTTTCTCTTACAAATATTAGAAATGATTTTTGGAATGGACCGTTTCAGAATAAAAATGTTTTTCAATTACTTTTTGAATTTCATGGGATTCAAAACGGCATTGAGACTTTCAAATTGAACTTTGCCTCTGAAGCTAACCCTACTGCTTTGGATTTACTTAATTATCTCTCTAGTCAGGTGGGAGATTCACTGATCTGGGTGACATTTGTTGAATTCCTTCATTTTGTAATCCTATATAACAACAATAAAATACTTTCCTTACTGGAACCACACAATAAATAAAAATCAACACCTTTAAACATCCAGCAAATCGTTTTTTAATATTTAAAAACGCTTTCGAACGCTTTAAGCGATCATCATCAGTTAACATTTGTGAATCGAACGATTCACAAATGTTAACTGATTTGCTGGATGTTTAAAGGTGTTGATTTTTATCTATATAACAACTTTTCTATGTACATAAGAGGATTATCTTTAGCCACACTTCTAAGAATAGCATCTTTTATCATTGTTCTGCAGTGCTTTTAATGTCATATATGAGATTAAAAACGCTACTATATACTGTGTATAAGTTTTCCTTATAAAATGGGATATTTTGGACATTATATACATATATAGTTTTAAAGTACATTAATTTGTTACTTAAAATATAATTATTAAATACTCGTTAAAACATAAATAAATTATTATATGTCAAATTAAAACGTGTGATGGAAAAACATTTTTGGAGGAATGAGTATGCTATATTACATTTAATAAATATTTAAATTTTATATTTTAAAAATGATAAAACAAATTCAAGACAATTATAATCATATTTATAAAATATCCTAATTTAAAATTCAGCATAATAAAATGAGATTACAGTTAAATACTGCTGATATATTAGTTATAAAAATTGCAAATATGAAATATTTATATATTCATCAGCTATGAGAGTGATAATTAAAAATATTGTATTAATGTAACAAGTTATCAGAAGTGAAATTCTTTACAATCGCATATCAGCAATTTGACGTGATTTATTTTGTAATATAGGAAAGAAACAGAGTCATAAGACAAAAATAAAATTATACAGTGTTTAATAGTTGAAAATTATATAAACTTGAATAATTTTAAAGAGGTGTTTGCAATGTAATATTTTAATGAATGTAAGCTTCTGTGCAATTTATTAATGAAGTAAAAAAGTTTAAAGATTTTAATAAAATTGTAACAAACAAAATAAATTAGTCAATCAAATATTTAGATAATAAAATTAAATGTACATAAATTTAGTTTGTGAAGATGAAAAAAATTGAAACAGTTCACTATCTACAAATTGTTTAAGTATAGAGTTTCACATAAAACAAGTTTCTAATCAATCAATATATTAACAAAATGAACATTTTAAGCCTGATAATTTTGAACTTGGAGATACCTTGAGATAACTTGTAAAAATTTCATTGTTTTGGTTAAAAAATAAAAATACTTTTGTTTTATATAATGTATAATTTATAATGAAATGTATACTTTGTTAGCTGATAATTTCTGACTGACTGAAAAATTATATTACTTTTAATTGATAGTTCTATAATCTGTTGTAGTTTGTTGACAAGAAATTGAATTACACAGTTATATAAATATATGATAAGTTTTCTAGTGTTTTTATAATTATTAAACTATACCATTAAGTAAGTATCAGAGCTTTCAATGTATTTATTTTTATTAAAATGTAATTTCAGAAAAGATGTGATTTTTGATGAAAATAAACAGTTCTGTTTTATATCGAATCTGTGGGTATTTTTTAAGATGTTAATAAATTGCAACCTATGTCTGTATTTACCTATATATATTCTATTTAAAACAAAAATAGTAAAATCAGAAATATATTCTTTTTTTTTCAGGTAGCCAAATTTTTTATTACTTGTAAACATGTTTTTATGTAGGCCAGCTTTAGTTGCAGAAAATTTTTGTGATGGAACGTCAAATATTATAGAATCAAACAAGTCTTACATATAATAAAACATTTTGATTCCTGAAAATGCAGTGTGCATTTTTAATTTTACAACATGTCAAGAATATTGAAATTTAATTAAATAAGTAATAAATTTTTTACTTTGTAACACTTTTTTTATGCAACTAGGGTTACTATCAATATAGGAGACATAAAATGCAATGATTTTGCATATTTAGCATTCTGTGTTGGGTAATCACCAGAATAGTTTAATCCAGCGGTTCTCAAAGTGTGCACTGCGGTGCTTGTGAGGAAGCCACGAAATATTATAAAATGTTCATAATTTTACTTCCACTTTTAATTCAATGTGATAACATGCCACATCTAGCAGACCTGGTGCAAATCATTAACTCAGTAATAAAGTAATAGAATCGCAAAATGTAAAAAGCCTCATACCATTGCAGAAAACTCATTCTACCAGCGGCTGTAGATATGGTGAACATTATGATTGGTGAGTGTGCTGGAAGCAGCTTTCAAAAGTGTCTTTGTCTAATAACACTGTCAGTCGCAGAATATAGCACATAATGAAGGAGCTCCAATATTCAGTTAATTGAAAAAATAAAATGGAAGGAATTTTGATTACAGATGGATAAGGATACAGATAATAATTAGGATGCTTACTTGATTTGCTATGTACAGTTTATAGATAGTAATAACATTATAGAAGACTTTCTGTTTTTGTAAATGTATTACTGCTGGTGCTAAGGCTCATGACTTGTTCAAGATCTGTAATATTTCTAAATCCGAAGATAATTTGGAGTGGACCAAATGCATTAGTATCTGTACTGATGGTGCTCTTTAATTTAAAAAATATTGGCTATTTCACAAATTGTACTTGTTAGAATTTGACATAGGGTGCCTTGGGAAAATCTGGATTTAGCAAGAGTGCCGAGAATCAAAAACGTTTGGGAACCACTGGTTTAATCTGTAATGTTTTTAAATTAGATATATATTATCAGAAATTGACCAGAAGTAAAAATTAAGTGTTTTTAACTTGCTACTGGTCGTTTTTATGAAGAAATTAATTTGATAATTACTATCTAACAAATATCTTCAAAATATACATTTTATTTCTAAGCAATAATAAAAAATGGATGATTGTGCAGAAAATTTTTAAAACAGAATGATGACATGAAGTTTTAATATAATATTAATATGTAAAATTTTCAAATATAAGTTGGTATCTGAAAATGAAAAAATTATTTTACATATTTTTATATTGAATACTGTGTTATATTTTCCTACAATTGACATTTTAAAATGTCTGGTTTAGAAAAATGTGTTAATATTATTATAAGATAACTGTAGAAATGTACTGGTTATTTAGTAGCCATAAATACTCAGCACTCTGTTGCATGTTTGACTAGTATGATATA